CCTTCTTCTTTGAGTATCTAAGTATCTAACCCACAGAAGAGCCCTACAGGACCCTCTCAGAACCCACTTATTCTCATTTTATATTCCCACAACACAACCGTCTACAGCAAGTTTCTTTGGGGTGGTGGGGAGGCTATGATTTCTAAACCCTGCCAATCTGAGTCTGACTTTCCACAGGATAAAACACAAACACCAATTCAGAACCAAGAAACCCGAGATGATGGGCCCACATCTGCCAAAAGAGTTTGGGTGGGGGGGCAAGTTATTCCATTCTCTTGAGTCCTCAGTTTCCTCTTCCATACACTGCAAAGGTGATTTCTAGTATTTCTTCCAACACAAATATTCTCCTAGCCTGATTACAAAAAACTGGCTTCCTGACACCTAAAACTGATTGAGTCCCATGTCCCTATGAAGAGGTCACTGCCATGACCCCTATTTTACAGGGAGGCGATTAAGTAACTTGTCCTCAGGTACCTAACAAAGGCCAGGACCCATGCTCTGTCACTGCCACAGACACCTGGCCTCCAATAAACTGAGAGGCACCCCACGTACTTTGCAGCAACCCAGTTAGTAGTGAGGSGTCCTTTCTGATGGTCTATGAGCTCCCAAAACACATACAAACTCTAAAAGGCAAATTTGGGGCCCTTTATGAAGTTTTAAAATCTCCAAACAACTCTGTAACCCCCGAGGGCACCATCTCAACTCACTCCATCCAATACCCTCATTCTACGGATTGCCTCATGGATAAGAGGACTGCTTTGGAATCTGGGTCTCCCAGAGGCTTTCGGAGACTGGACTTTCAACCTTTTAAAGCATCTCAACTATGCACCTTGAGGCAGGTTCTTTAATAATCTGTGAAGCTCATTTTCTCCTCCTACTTATCTCAAAAAGTTTAGAAATCAATTCGGTAGGCATGTTGGAGACTGTGTCTCCTGCTAGCAGTTAATGACATGAGGGTGACTCTGTGTCTCAGCCCCTCTGAGGCCCGTTCACTCTCTCACACACTTCCAGGGGTCACCTGTCCTCCCTACAAGCTGATGAGACTTTTACTCTTCTTCAAAGGCTTCCTCGACATTTCTTCTGGATTTTGACAGAGAGAGACCACCAACTTTGGCCATGCTAGTCTAAGAAGTCTATACAGAATGTACCTCCTGCTAAAGTGTAGTCCACGTGACTGATGTAGGAAAGCAACAATCACCCCAGCACAGCAACCCAGAGAGGAACAACAGGATGAGCAGGGCTTAGGGGCAGGGGGCAGATACTGTCACCCAACCCATAATGAATGTCAGTCTGGTTAGCCCTGGATCAGTCACCTGCCTCTAGCGACTTCCTGCCTTCTCACTGGAGTCACAATTACCAGCTACTTCTCTTGCCCTTGCAAAGCTCCCAAGGCTAGGACAGCTCCCAGAACGTGACAAGAACTGAAACTGGAGAAGCATGGCCACCCGCTTCCTTCACCATACTGATGAATGGATCATGAGAATGCAGAGCTTTGTTGCCAGCCAAGTGACTCTGCCCAGTGATCATGGGGTTCTCCCAGACCCCGGCCAATACCCCCTGCCCTTAGTCACTGAAGCCCCGACTAAGCAACAGCTTGCAAAGCATCCTGAACTGTTTTCCCTAGAACCTGCCACCCACATCTCATGTTCAATCCCTGCTCAGAGGCAAAGTCTAAGCCCTGTCTCTCTACATCAGCAGCAGTTTCGTTGGTGACCCTGGGGATCATTAACCAACTAACCTCTCCTAACCTGACCACACCATTACGAGGCTATCAGGCTGCCTGCTGGGCAGCATTCAACAGTGACCATCAGGATTTCCATTTCTTCAAAAGATGGGACAGTTTAAGGCACTGTCAAGAAAGAGCATTAAAGTTGCAGGAACAAGCTAACATCCCAAACCCTCAACAGCCTGGTGACAGCTTCCAGTCTCATTTAATCTATTTCCCACCCCCGCAAAAAAAAAAATCTGTTGGAGAAGTATGTATAGCACTCAAATTCCAACAGGAACACTTTCCTGTTTCCTCTACTACATTCCTCTGTGGTCTTCTGAGTCTGGAAAGGGTTCAGATGACAGACAAATGTCCCATATAAAGGAACTTCAGGAACATATTTGAAAGGATTAAAAGGTGTGTCATTCTTTGTGAGATATGAAGAGTTTTGTTCCAGAAGTCCATAGAAACTTGCATCTGGCTCCCATCCTATGGTAAGCAATAGCTTCCGCTGCCCCTGTTCCAGTTTTCTGATCAAGCCCTCTTGATTTGTCTCCCTTAAACACTAGTTCAGACATTTCGCCACACCTACCTGGACAAATGCACCCTGCTCTAGAAAGCCTTATGTGACATGACTCCTTCCTAATTGCAATATTTCTGAACTCATCTCTCACCAATAATGCCTGCAACCCACCATGCGAGACTTCTTTCAGCTCCTCCACTAATTTATAATTCCTGCCACTATACTCTTGCTCCTGCTATTCCCTCAACATAAAATGCCATCCTCAAAGCTCTATTAATCTAAGTTCTAGGCATCTTTTAAGACAAGGTCACCCTCCACCTTCTCCATGAAGCCACCATCAGCCCAGCTAAAAGTGCGCATTCTTTCCCTCTGGTCATTTGCCAACACACTGCTTCTTCCCAATCACAAAATAAGCAAATACCAGGCAAGAACCACACCCTGTACTTCTTTGTCCCCTCCTAGTGTCCCTCACACATGACTAGCATGTAACACGTGCTCATTAAATGTACCTGCTCTGTGAATGCATGAACACGTTAACACTTGCAGAACAACATCACACCAGAAACAACTACCATCACCCACGTTCACCAAAGCAAATAGGAAACAAATTTTAAAATGGCATTTTGATTTGCCTCAGTATTACATACTGAGTTGGCAATACAGAAAAGACTACTCAAAGCCTATGAGTAAAAAAGAATCAATCTCCCCAGTAATAAGACGGAGCACTATAGAGACATGATGTTGTCTCTACATAGCTAGATAAAAACTGTGTTTTATCACGGGCAAAAAAAAAAAAAAAAAACCTTAACCAGGACAAAATCACAACATGGCACTCTAAGTTAAGAAGACTATGCCAAAGAGTTTTAAACCTTCTTGGCATGACTGTAATTGGTATGTTCTAAGAAATAGTGGCTAGGTGTTCAGTGCCCCAAACTGCAAGCCCAGAATAGTCAGGTATTTAGGCCACAGGATAAAGAACACAAATGGCTATGCCACACGACAAGCACTGTAGGCATATAATGGAACACATTCCCCTCTCAATTGGGACACTATGATACAAGCCGAATGAGTTTTAAAAATGATTTTAGCTGTTTTATACTATATCTAAGGGATCCCAGCTATTAAAGTGTGATAAATATTCATTTTAAGCTAAAAGAAATTACTAAATGGTGATGTTATGTTGCCTTCTTAGCATCCCCAAATATTATGAGGTTACTATATAATCCCAAGTAATATCTAAGATGGAATGTACGGCTATTATTTGGCTTTTTCAACTGAAACAGCGAGCACTGAAGGTCAGATTCCTTGTCCACCAAAACCAGAAATCCAGGTCAGATAATGACACGGCTAAGGAAAATCAGGGTTGTGTTTCTAAACATCAGCCTCAAAGGTCAGGGACACCACCACCACCACCATCGTCATCATCATCATCACAAATAACAAAGGAAAGAAAGACTTTTACAGTGCTTGTTATCTACCAAGCATAGCTCTGAGATCTTCACATATCAACTTAACAAATCTCCAGAAGAACTCTGAGACATGTGTCACCAAAATCCATGTTACGGATGAGAAAACTGAAGTTGGATAATTTACACGAGGTCGCACGGCTTGCAAGTTACAAGGCCAGACTCAAGCTCAGGAAGTCAAGCTCAGAGCCCAGGCTCTTACCCRTGTGCATCAGCTCTTATCCGTGTGCATCAGCACTTTCCCATCTACATCCCAAGGTACGCTCACATCCCTGTTCCCATCAGCCTTCCAAAGGACACACCCAAATGCTCTGAAAATCTGATAAAGGTATTTGTAAGTCTGATGTTCCTCTTTTTAGGAAAACACCTTCAAAAATGCATTACCTGAACTGACTAAAAGTGTGAATTGTGGGGTCAGGCAGGCCTGAGTAAAGGCCTGGCTCCACTGATGAGTGACTCTAATGGTAAGGTATTATTTCAGCCTCCTCATCTGGAAAATGCAGATAGTACCAATGTATAAGATGATTGTGAGGATCAAACGAGATACTACATGCAAAGTGCTCAGCAAAGTCTGTGGCACATAACAAATAATCTAGTAAAACAGTTAGTACAGTTACTATCACTAGTAATAGTTCCACTTGTTCTAAATTTACTTGTTTCTAACTGAAGGATATTGCTTTAAATTCTAAAATACCAGAATGTGATTACCAGACTAACACCAGTACTGTTTTAACCAAAAGCTAGGATAGCCACAAGGTTAAGACTTGCACTATCTAAAAATAATTGTAGAAATGTTTCTTAATAATACTGGATGGTAGCTGAACATTAGTATCAAAAAATATAGTGATAGGGGCCRGGGTTGTGGCTCAGCGGTAGAGTACTGGCCTCACATTGTAAAACCCTGGGTTCGATCCTCAGCACCATATAAAAATAAATAAGTGAAATAAAAGTATTGTGTCCAATTACAACTAAAAAATAAATATTAAAAAATATATAGTGATAGATAAACAATGATAACTATGGAAAAGGACAACCTTATGAGAATTAGTTAATTCCTGAAATTTTAAATATCAGAAGCTGAGCAGTCTTCAAACAAAGAAAATGACTTGAAATCACYGAGAACAAGCTACAAGAATTATATCCAATATCTCTGAACTCTACACGTTGGGAATATTGCTTTGATGAATAATTAGAGCAAACAGGTTTCACTGAGACAAGAAAGTAACACAAGTGGAGAAAACGCACTCTGAAATTGGAAGCACTGTTTTCTTTTAACTGGGGGAGTAGGTTGGGAAATACTTACTAGTATCTGGAGTCTTCTCTTCAGATCTGCCAAATAAAAATTCGTATTTGGCCTTGGCAACACTCTGGGAATGTGCTGATGCACTGTTAACCCAAACAAACGTCTCTGCCTGAAAATTGAGAACAAAAAAAAGATGACATTAAAAATGTATCACAAAAGTACGTCGTAAAACAAACTCACAGGAGCACGATCAAGCACACACACACAGCCCACATTTGATAGAATCTATATCACACTCAAAAGACAAAAAAAAAAAAATACAACAGGGAAAATCAGCATACAAAACTAGACCTCTGTGATTACAACTCTAGAAAAAAGACATACCTAGGAACATAGGGGAATAAGGAAAATGCAAAGACTTTKTCTTGGTTGTGGGGCAGATTTACAGTAGATGTTTTAAAAATCAAGTTTGTTTTTGAACGATTAGAAAACTATATTTTATTTTTAAATGTATCATTTCCCACGTGATTACAATTACCCAGTTCATAACAAAAACATTTCTGAGTGGGTTCTGTTAAAGACACTAACCAAAAAAGTASTCTCTCCCCAGAAGAGATCACTTTTTTTAATAATCAGAAAGGCCACTCAGCCAAACCGTGCACTGCCAAGCATCCCATTACGCTGTCCTGAATTTGAACATCTGCCCAGTGTCCTTCATAATTCCTAAAAGCCCCTTATTTGAAAGAAAAACTACAGAGGYGACAGTGAAAGCAGTTCATATTAGGATTCTGAATTCCTAAGGCCTCCTTCCTGGCTGCTCTAGTCAAAGGCCAACTATCCAGAGTGGCCCCTTCTCTCTGATCTAGGACCAGTTAAAGATAAGGAAGAAATTTAAAAGCACAAAGAAATCTGAACTACACCAATCAGAGAGCCTTTTTATTCTGAACTCAAACATAACCAGGATCCAGACCTCACCCACACTCTCTCTACTTTCTGGTTATGAGACGTCTTTCCTCATCACTGACCAGCAAATTAATGGGGCTTAGCAGGGGGGAGAGGCATGAAGGTTTCTATAAGCAACCAAGTAACTTCAGAGAAGAAAATCTTATGTGACTTCTCTGATTGGAGCTGAGATGGCCAGGAACAGGGAGAAGTTCCACTTCRTCATCGCATGGCAGGCAGGGTCATCATCAGAGAGCTAGCCTACACAATTTCAAGACAGCAATTTCTTAAAATAGCTCTATAATTGCGTAATGTCCACAATGTGCAAAATTCATCTTTCTGGAAAAGGTGCACATTCTTCTTAGCGTTAGGAAGCTAATAAAAACAGGCTCATTATCTTTTTCCCCAACAGAGAGGAAAAGTGAATTTTTTGACATGTTTGGGGAGCTTTGGCCAAGGGGCTCCCACCCCAGGTAGGAGCTAAGACCTACAGAGTGGAGAACCAGAGGCTGGGGAGGACGGCAATATCCCACCAAGCAAAGGAAGGGCCACAGGCACAGCTTGAAGGTGGGGAAGGAGACTGCTCAGAGGAGAAAAGGCCCAGGTAGCCACAGAAGAGCCAGACAGTGGGAAAGATGGACAGGGAGAAGAGCAATGCGCAGAGAAGTAGGAACCAAACAACACACGGTGTGTCAGGCAAGGAGCCAAGGAGCGGAAGGGGTATTTTAATCAAAACCTCATGGAAAGTCATGAAGGGCCTTAATAGGGTGATTCATTTGCATTTTTAAAGCAGAGACACTAGTAAGGWGTCTGAATGAGACACTATGGACACTCAGAACAGGGTGATGACACCAGAAACAGGCCAAAGAGGATGAATTAAATATCTTACATACAAATCTATATAATTTTCTGATCAACTGTATTTGAAGGAATGAGGGAGTGGGAGAAATTGAAGATAATTATAATGGAAAATATTCACTCTCCATTTACACCCTGCAAGGCAGAGTTCCAATGCAACACACAGGGCTAGGGACGCAGCTCAGCCCGTAGGACACTGGCCTAGCAGGCAGGAGCCCTGGGCTCAATGGTCGGCACCAAACACAAAAATCTTCCCAATGTAAAACACAGGATCTCTCATGAAATGCTCCAAAAGTTCATGGATCCCCAACCCAAATCCATGAAGTCTAAATCCAGAACCCATGATGCTGAGGATGACTCCCAGGAATGTGGCTTGAGACACTGGGTGTRTGTACGGACATAAGGGAGACCAGAGAAGGAACGTCATTGGCATCTTGGGCATGGGCTTCCAGGTAACCTCCCAAGACCTCACTAAAACAACAGAAARGAACGTGTTCAATTCATTACATGGTGCTAGAGCAGAGGAAAGGAATGCCCTCTCAGAAGCAAAGGTTTTAAGCAATTCCAGGAAGACCATCTGTTGTCTTTTAGAGTCTGGATTTAAAGTGTGAGCACTGTTCTCTGAAGACAGCTTCTTCCTGAGTGAGTTCATGACTTCAGGTCTATGGAGGGCCCATCAATAGATCTTACACTTTCACATTTGGATGAGGGAGGGGGAAAAAAATCACACCTTTATTCTCACTGCTAATGAAATTCAGCAGTTGCTTTTTCAAATGTAAACATCAACAACAGGGCTGGGGTTGTGGCTCAGCAGTAGAGCACTCGCCTAGCACTCGTGAGGCCCTGGGTTCSATCCTCAGTACCACATAAAAATAAATAATTAAAATAAAGGTATTGTGTCCAACTACAACTAAAAARTTTATTTTTAAAAAAATCAACAACAAATCCCAGTATCAGTAGCTATAACTTTATCTCCAACAAAAATCCATTGTTTGCACTGTTATGTGACAGTTGTGGCAGATCTCTTGAGACGTCATTCATACTCATCCCTAAATTAAAATATGAGCAGTAAACAGATTCACCACTAAATTTTGTTATCATTAAAGAAATTCACATCACAAATTTAATATCTTGGTAGCCAACATAGAGTCAGCCCTTCTACAAGTTCTGCATCCAGTTTCAACCATGGATCAAAAAATACATAGAAAACTGGTTGTATCTGCACTGAAACTGTACAGAATTTTTCCTTGCCTTTATTCTCTAAATACAGACTATAATGACTATTTACATAGTGTTTATATTGTATTAAGTATTATAAAACTATGCCATTTGACAGAAGGGGCCTGAGCATCCATGGATTTTGGTATTCTTGAACCAATCCCCCATGGATACTAAAGTAAGACTATACTCTCAGTTTCTTTTACAACTCTATGAATATTAGTTATATGAATTTAAAAAGCATTACTTTAAAAAGAGATTCAGAGCTCTATCAAACTGTCAAAAGGAGCCATGGTACAATAAAGATGAGGAGACCTGCTCAAAAGCATRTTCCCAAACTGCAACTAAGACCCATTCATGGCTTGTGTAATTAGTTTAGTGGATCACAACCAGATTTTAATATAAATGAGTTTATACATGCATATATATTAATGAGCACACATTTAACAGAATAAAATTGAAAATACCAGAGAGGACACAGCAAAATAAACATTGTCTTATAAAATTTCTAAATTACATGCACGTGTGTGTGTGAGAGTGAGTGTGTGTGTGTGTGTGTGTGTGTGTGTGTGTACTGAGTCATAATTTAAAGTACACCTCTCCCAAGGGTTATGGTCCAAACTGAATCACCTTGCTCTAGAGTGATTCTCAAACTTTACATGAATGAGCATCCCCCACAGCACTTATTAAAGTCCCTGCTCCTGAGGTGCACCCCAGAGTTTCTGATTGAATAGATCCACAGTGGTCCTACTGAACTCTACTATATTCTTAGTGCAATTGTCTAACAATTTTACAGGTGTCATTGATATTGCTGGTCCAGGAACCATATTATATGAATCACAGCTCTAAGACAATGTTTCTCATACTTTATTATTTATGAGAATCACTTGGAAATCTTGTTAAACTAGCGACTGAGTCACTCTGAGAGGGAGCCAGAGACTCCATATTCCTAAAAAGCTACACACAATCCAGGCCCAGTGAGTGGACACACCTGTAACCCTGGAGACTTGTGGGGTTGAGACAGGATTACAAGTTCAAGGYCAGCCACAGCAACTTAGCAAGACACAGTCTCAAAATTTTAAAATAACCAGGGCTGGGGATGTRGCTCAGTGGTAAAGTACCCCTGGGTTCAATCTCCAGTACCCAAAAAATAAAATAAAAGACAAATGTTAATCCTCAGCTCACACCCTGCATACTAACTAGTCTTGCAGGTGCTAAAGTTGGAGAGTGAAGGAAGCAGTGTTTAAAGCACTCTTGCAGAAGAGAATCACTTTTTGAAGGGCTGATCTATCTAGGAGGAAAATATACTAATGGTCTCCATGCTAACAAAGCACTCTGTATTTGGAAACCACAAGGAACCCTACATTGCCAACATTCAGGCCCAAATCAAAGCAWGAATAATATTTCCCTGCCTCGCTAAACAAAATAAAATTCATTCTGCTTACATGAGTTATTCTTAMAGCGGTGAGCCCTGCTAATATAGCTTGCTCTTCCCCTGCCAAGTCTTGTAAATCTTCACACATCTCTGCAATACTTTTTGCAGGTCTTTGAAAAATTATACTTGAAACAATCAACTTGATGAAAGTCCCACATAACTCGGCACTACATTTTCATTCTGTACTACTAATGGAATAAAATATGTTCTTTGTGTTTGCCATTTTAAGAACATAAATCTCATAAGCATGGAATGGGCCTGGGTATGCAGCTTGGTGGTAGAGGGCCTACCTAGCAGGCACAAGGCCCTGAGTCCAACCCCAGCGCCAAAAAGAGAAAAGAAAGAAAAAATTAAAAATGAACTGATCTGGACCCCAGACATGTGATCTGGATTTAAATCCTAGTTTTGATACTCTCACACAATCTCACACAAATGCTTTATCTTTGGACTTTGGATTCCCTGCTGATAACTGAAAATCTGAAATTCKAAATGTTTGGGGCATGGGCCCGATGCTACAAGTAAAAATTTTCACACCCAAATCTCATCTTCTGACAGGTCATAGTCAAAATGCAAGAGCATTTGAAAATTACCTTCAGCCCATGTATATAAAATGCATATGAAACCTAAATGTTAATGTGGGGTCTACAAATCTTGAGGTCCTATCTATCTTCCTATATCTATCTGTGTGTGTGTGTGTATGAAAATATTCCA